ATAGGCCCTCAAGAGATCCAACAAACTCCCAAGAGGATCCCGAGAGGCTCCCAAAAGGCCCCCAATCTGCCCCCAAGAGGCCCCCGAGAGCGTTCCGAAGAGACCCCCAGAAGCATCCCCGAGAACTCAGACCCACAACCCAGGCACGGTGGCGGGATGGGACGAAGGCCATCGTATCCTCTGTTGATATGTATGTATGTGTATTTACACTGCTTGTGTATGTGTGTATCTCTCTTTCTCTTTCTCTTTCTCTTTCTCTCTCTCTCTCTCTCTCTCTCTCTCTCGCTATATATAGATGTGTATGTATGTGCACAAGAACATACAAATGTGTATACAAACACACAAATGTGTATATAGGTATCCGTGTGCATAAATGCAAAACAAAAACATACCCCAGAAAGCGCTTCGTTCCTTTCACGAGAATCCCCACAACAATCAAACGGGGGTAGGCGTCTGACCTGTCAGACGACGCGTGCTGGCAGCGTTCAGTGATCAGTATGGCATGCTGGCTCGCCTGGGTCCAGAAATGCGGCTCAGTACGGCGTTCTGGCGCGATGTGGTCCACGACATGAAGCTCAGTAATGCGTTGTGTCTCGATGTCAGCCCTCCTCGAACCAGAGTTGAGACTCACTACGGTGCTCGGGCTCGATTTGTGCCAGACATGAAACTCACAATTGTTTTCTGGCTCGGTTCGATTTCACCAGCATGTCCACCGAGGGGGCGGGGGGCAAGCGTCTCACAGGTCCGACGGCTGTCTGGAATCGACTCCTTGTGGTATCACCCGGGCGACTCCTACGTGGGACCCATGAGGCGCCGCCCGGAAGGAAAGCATCCCAGCGGCGCGCAGAGGAACACAGGGTGTCCAGCTTCCGCGGCAGAAATCAAGAAATCCTAGGCGTGGGGTTCGGGCATGGGGGCTACCCCTGCGTGGGATTCCGGAAGAGGAATGAAGTCTCAGCCGCGGGGGTGCTGGCGCGCGGGGTCGCCCCCCCCCCCCCCCAGCGCAACCAGGGGAAGAAAGTGCGAGATCCTAGGTAGATTGTAAATGCAATGCAGCATCACTCAAATAGTATGTGTACTCGGGAGCTGTACTAGTATAACTTGCACGCTACTGTGTCCTATGATGGCATACACATTATCTACTGTTTCCTTTTTCCTGACCGTTGCTTCCGTACTCCCAGGTCGCGATCCTATAGTGTTTCCTTATTCTCAAGTAGCGAGTCTACTTTGTTTCCCCAAATGCCTAAATCGCAATTGGATAAGACTAGTTGTGCTGCAGGACCAGGTGCGCGCTAGGAGCAGCTGCGTACTAGCACATTGTGGTACCAGTTGTACTCAAGTACTAGGTGCACTCTAGCCAGAGGGGTTCAGGGCAATACGCCCGAGGAAGAAGAAACAACATCAATGAGCCGCCAGAGGTCCTGGGTTTATCGGGTCGCCGCGAAAGTGAACCACACCACGCAGAAGGAAGAAAAGAAATCTGGCCAGGAGGGGTGGAGGGTTCACGCATGAGTCGCGGGGGCGAGATTGTGGTGTTCTAGCTAGATATCAGCCCTCGCTGATCCAGAATTGAGACTCACCCTGCGGTCTGGCTGGACTCAATCCAAAGAGGGGAATCCACTACGCTGAATTGGCTCGATTTGAACCCTCCCGAATCCAGAACTAAGAACAAATATGGCGTTCCGGCTAGATTCTAGTTCGAGAATGATGCCCGCTAGAATCTGGCACAGGGGGGGCGAGTATGTTGGCTCGACTTCAACGATCGCAGATCCAGAAATGAAACTCATTCTGGTGGTCTGGCTCGTCTTGGTTTAGACGTGAAGTTCACTTTGTGCTGTGGCTCGGTTCCAGCCCTCCCAGAACCAGTAATGAGACTCACTACGGCGTTCTGGCTCGATCTAGTCCAGAAATAATGCTCACTATGGTGTTGTGGCTCGATTTCAATTCAAACATTCCTCATACTAGAATCTCCACAGGGGGTCGAATGTTTTTGCTCGATGTCAGCCCTATAGGACCCATTCTGGTGTTTTGGCTCGATGTCACACGTCGCACGACCAGAAATTGTGGCGGGGGCATCGGGTTCTCACCATTCCAGCTGCCCTAGGCCCAGAACGTGTGGCAGTTCCATCTGCTCTTCACGATTCCAATTGCCAAGAATGGGGCCGCTCGGTTCCTAACGCTGTTCCAAGCGCGTTCATGCCACCATGGCGACATCACAAACGTCACCCTCATCAGCAAGATAAACTCCGTAATCGTATCAACAAAATGATGAAACCGTTAACGGAAGCCGACGTTTCAGGCGCCCATCCGCCTCCACACCTTAGCTGCTAGTAGGTGCTTCGGTGAGGTAATGTTGCATATATATATATATATATATATACACACACGTGTATATATATGTATATATATATACACATGTACATACGCATGACAGTTGACCACTTCCGAGGGGGGATCAAAGGTTGTCTGCGCCATGGTTCCATGCTTCAAGGTCTTGCTGCGCCCGAGAGCGGGCCGCATCCACGGGGTTCAAGGGCTGGCTGCCAGGACGCAATATCCAGAGGTTGGCTACGCACTAGGGGCAAATATAGGAAATGATGATGTGGGGGAGCAAGGCAGCAACATAGCATCCGCATCCCCGCCTGGCCCCCCTCCCCAGAGGAGTGTGGCCAGGTCGGAGTGGTGTACACTATCTGCGCTGCTCTTACGAAACAGTCTCAAAGTCGGGTTTCGAAACTCCCTGGCCCAGCCACTGAAGGGAGACGAGGGCCAGGTGGAGGTGAAGATGCGTGTTCGTGCTGCAGCGGCGAGGGGAGAACGGAGGAGGGATGACGAGCTAGGCGCGCTCGCGTCATATGTAACGTCCTACCCCTCCTTCACATCACGTACCGTTGCGTAGAGTCCCTCTCTATTTGCAGATTTGGGTGTCGAACAGGACGCTGGCCCCGAAAGGGTAAACGCCGCACAGCGTAGCATGGCGTAGGAGAACACGGCAGAGCATGGCATTGTGTTGCAATGCGCAGCCGATCATTTATCAACGCATTGCATGGCAAGGCATCACATCGTGTAGTGGCGCATGCCAAAACACTACGCTGCATGCCATGGCATGGCGCTGCACAGCTTAGCATGGGATGGCATTATGTAGCCAAGCATTGCATACAAACGCATTGCAGAGCAAGGCTGCAAAGCGGTACATAAAATAGCAGTGCATCGCATGCCGTGTCATGGCACTGCGCATTACAACATGGTATGGCGTCGCGTAGCCTAGCGTTGCATACTACGGCGTGTCAGGCCAAGGCATGGTATCGCATGGCGGTATATACAATGGCATGCCATCACATGACATCTGCAAGCGATACAGCTGCACCATTGAGAAGGACTACAATCGCGGAAAAGAGGCCAACGCTGCAGCGGGAGCACCATTCTGAACCGTGGACGCTGGGATGCCGACAGCGTCCGGATCGGAAAACACACACAACATGTAAGCCTTATCACCTGTTGGGCATCCCGTTCAAAAACAGTACGCGGAGGGGGCGCGATAAACGTTTTCGCATTCGGCGGTTGGGCATCGGTCAGAAGGGCGGTCTGGCTCCAGACCTTTACTTAATGCGACTGTTTGCAACAGTGCGTCCCATCTGCCTGAAACAGGCGCCCAAAACAGCCAGAGTCTACTCCACGGGGGCAGGGAGGGGGGTGCGAGGGCCCGCGCCGATCGGCAAAACAATCAGAAAATGATCACTCTCAACACGTCCAGAGGAGAGTACAACCGAACATGTGATCCAGAGACTTACCATTCCAGACTTACCAACTTCCCAAAGGTTCCTTAAAGTAGACCTGTTCCGATGTCTGTCATGAACGCTGGAAAGGTGATCGTGCTCAAGAAACTGGCCCACCTGTCTGGCAAACGCTGGCCAGGCTTCTTGGGGACGGGGTTTCTCAATCAGACGCTCGACCGTAGCTTTCATGCAGCACTTGCTGACAGGACGGGGAGGAGGGCGGGAGGGAGGGGGACAGATAGCAGGGGCCCAAGGGAGCGGGAGGACGGACGACGGAGGGAGGGGGGGTAGAGAGCGGGGGGGGGGGGATGGGCGAGAGGAGGGGACGAGCGAGGAGGCGGAAACAAGAACGCGAGAAGAAGGGGAGGGAGGGAGGGGGGGACGGGAGCGAGGTGGGGAGAGGGAGTTAAGAAGGGCGAGAGGTACAGATCAAGCTAGCATCGCTCAGGCCACATCTGACATCCTGCCCCTCACTCCCATCCCTTCCGACTGCGCTGCACTTTTCTCTATCCGCCGAAACGTGTCATAGCCGACCTGGAACTCCACAGAAGACCCTATCGTGTTAAAAGGGAATGTGTGAGACCTGCGGGGCCTGGGGGACCTCCGTGGGACCTGTGCAACATGCGACACCTCTGTGACCTGTGGGACCTGCGGAACCTGTGGGACCTGTGGGGCATGCAAGACTTGCGACCCCTGTGGGACGTGTGGAACCTGTCAGACTGGTGGTACCTTCGGGACCTGTGAAACAGAAAAGTGGCCCACGCTGAGCGGGAGCGCCATTCGGAGCGACGGGAGCACAGCGCCGATCCGAAAATGAGGCCCGCGCTGCAGCCAGAGCAGCATGCTCGAAAAACTGGAAACACTCTGATTACAAAACACACATGAAAAGCCAGTTCGCGCAAATCCTGTGAAAGAACAAGACGCGGAGGGGGGGCGAGTACTCTCAGGACAGATTCGGGGGAGGGCGGAGAATCGCATTCATATTGTGTGACGGTTGGCGAGGGGAGGGGACGAGGAGGGACGAGTCGACGAGGGAGGAGGGACAAGGGAGGGGATTGACGTGGAGCGATCGGAGGACGGAGGCAGAGGAGAGAACCAGTGGGGGAGGCGGGGCCGAGGGGCCGAAGAGCGGGGCAGGGAGGGCGGGGACCGACGGGCGCGACGGGAGGGGGCGGGAGGAGCGGCGAGGGGGGGAGGGCGCGGCGCGAGGAGCCGCCCCCCGGCCTGCCCGAAGTCGAGCTCCGCGAAGAAGGCGTGCCGCCTCACGTCCGACGTCCTCCTGCCGCGCCCGCGCGCGCCCGCGCGCGCCGCCGGAGGGGCGGCCCCACCAGCGCGGGCGCCGCCGCTGGGCGGCGGCCCCCGGGGGGGGAGCGGCAGGCACCCGCCGGGAGGAAGAGCGGTCGGGGGCGGCGACGGGGGGCGAGCAGCCCCAAGGGCGGGCGTGGCACGTGCTCGCCCGGGGGCCTCGCCGAAGGCACGGGCCACCGGCGCCCCTGGATGCACGTCTTGCTCTCCCCGTGGGCGATGCGCCCCCCATCGTCCATCGTCGCCCCCGAGGATAAGACGCTCTCGGGCATGATGAGTACTAAACGGCTCCAAGGAACGACCAGCAAGCCCATGCTCTACAATCGTCGTGCTACCACGAGGGGCGCCGAATGAGGAACGAAGGGGCCTTTTTGGCCATGGAGAGCCAGGGCCACAAACGGGCTCCCAGACCTGAATCTCAGGAGCGGCCCGAAGTGGTCATCATTTCAGTTTTGACTGCACGCGTTCTGGACGCTCACACCGCGAAGCAAAAGGAGTCCACTTTCCCGTGACAGAGGTCACCAGGATGCTCCTGCGGGGCCGGCGGCGCAGCGTGAGCCAGTGGATCCGTTGACCCCTGCTTTCCGAGGACGAACAGGCGTGCGGCATTGGGCTGCCCCCCTCCCCTTGTGCCCCTCGCCTGAGGTCAAAAATCCCGTTGCAGGGGTGGGGGGGGTAACGAGCTCCCAGCCGCACCTCGGTAGCCCCCGGAGCCTGCAGATCCACCCACCGCGTCCTCAAAGATGCCTAAGATATACTCTAAGATAGCCCCAGAAGGGCTCCAACGCGCCGAAGAGGCCTTCATAGAGTCCAAGATGGCCCCAGGACGGCCCAAGAGGCTTGGAAAACGCCCCAGAACCCCAAGAGGACTCACAAAACATGCTCAATAGGAAACTCTGAATTATCCAACGGAATTTGGGTGATGTTCGCATTCTCACGTTTCAATGGGTTCAGAGCCCCGAGTCGGCCCGAAAAGCCGCCCATATGGGCCAAAAAGGTCACCAAGAGAACACGGACATGGCCCGAGAGGGCCCCAAGACTGCCTGCCCAAGAGGGTCCCAAGACAACCACAACGACCACCAAGAGAGCCATAAAATGGCGAACTCGTGAGGGCCCCGGGAGCGGTCCCCAGACACATGGCACCCCAGCCGCCCAAAACGCTCCCAAAAATGCCTCCAACAAAAACCCTCAAGAGAGCCTCAGCCTCTCAGGCCTCCACTGCAATAGGCCTCCCGGGAAGATATAGACCCCGGGGGGCCTAGGCTACCCCAGGGCCTACTGGAGGCCCTAGGCTAGCCTAGGGTAGGGCCTACTGAAGGGCCTAGGCTAGCCTGGGGTAGGGCCTACTGAAGGGCCCAGGCTTGCAGAGGGTAGGGCCTACTAAAGGCCCGAGGCTTGCCCAGGGTAGGGTCTACTGAAGGACCTAGGGTCGCTCTAGGGGTAGGCACTGGGGGTAGGCCTAGGGTAGCCGTAAGGGTAGGCCCTAGGGGTAGCCCTGGGGTAACCCTAAGGCCCTAGGGGTAGCCCTAGGATGGCCCTAGGGGTAGGCCCTAGGGGTAGGCCCTAGGGGTAGGCCCTAGGGGTGGCCCGAGCCCGGGGCCTCCTTCTCCGTCCCCTCCTTCAACCCAAAACTCCACCGCCTCCTCCTCCTCCTCCTCCTCCTCCTCCAACTCCTCCTCCTCCTCCTCCTCCTCCTCCTCCTCCTCCTCCTCTCCTCCTCCTCCTCCTCCTTTTCTCCTCCTCCTCCTCCTCCTCCTCCTCCTCTCCTCCTCCTCCTCCTCCTCCTCCTCCTCCTCCTCCTCCTCCTCTCTCTCCTCCTCCTCTTTTCCTCCTCCTCTCCTCTTTTTCCTCTTGCTGCTCCTCCTCCCCTCAACTCCCTCCCTCCTCCTCCTCCTCCTCCTCCTCCTTCTCCTCCTCCTCCTCCTCCCCCTCCTCCTCCTTTTCCTCTCCCTCCTCCTCCTTCTCCTCCCCCTCCTCCAACCAGAAGCTCGTCCTCCTCCTCCTCCTGTCGCGTGTCGGTCGTGGCCGTTTCGTCCCCCGTCGTGTCGTGTCGTGTCGTGCCGCCTTTTTTGTTTTTGGTCCGGTCCTGGGGTCCGGTCCTTCTTTGGTCCTGGGGCCCGGTCCTGGGTCCCGGTCCTGGGGCCCTTTTTTGGTCCTGGGTCCCTGGGGGCGGGGGGCGCGGCGCCGTCCTTTTTCGCTGAAGGCGGCGCCGCGCTGCCCCTTTTTTCTGGGGCCCCCGTCGTTTTCCCCGTGTCGTGCCGGCCAGGCTCGCCCGCCGGCCGGGCGCGCGGGGCGCCACGCCGGGGCGGCGGGCGGGGCGACGCGTCGCTGGGATGAATGCACGCGGTTGAGAAAAAAAATCCTCCTCCTCCTCCTCCTCCTTCTCCCCCCTTCTCTTTCGCGTACTCTTCTCCCTCCTCTTCCTCCTTCCGTCCCCCTCGATCGCACATGGAGAGGGTGCCGTGCGGGCCAACGGCAGGCGGGCTGGGCTGGGCGGGCGGGACATTAAAGTACTCTGTGTCGCGTCAGCATTCGCCCGGCACGCGGGCGCCCGTGGCGGGCAGGCCGGGTCGGGCGGGACACTGAAGGATGTTGCGGTGTATCGTCACATGCCTGGCGCACGAACACCCGTAACGGGCAGGTGGCGCGTCCGTGGCGGCGCGGGTCGGGTCGAGCGGGCGGAATATTAAGGTATAGTGTGGTGCGTCCTCCCATGCCTAGCAGGCGAGCTGCTGGGACGGGCGGGTCACGGGTCTGGCGGGCGGGCCAGGTCGGGCGGGCGGAACCATTTACGGATGTTGTGGTGCGGCACCCGTATCGGGCGGGTCGGGTCGGGCGGGCGGGACATGAAAGTATGCTGT